CACCCCAGCCTGACAGGCAAAGGAAGGGAAGGAGGACAAAGGAGTCGGGCCAGCCTGGAAAGGACGAGTTTCCAAACAGGTGGAACTTGTCTTTTACTTCTTTTTCTGTGCCTTCTCTCTGCCTACCTATGTTCTCCCCCTTGGTCTCTTCTGTCCAAAGCCCTTAGCTATGTAATCTCCAATCCCAGGCCTGCCTTGACTGACCTACTACCCCATCCGTCCCTAATCTTGTCTCTAAGACAATCAATGGCCACTCCTTCAATTTAATTTGCTGGTTCTCAAACATCACTGTACCTAGTACAAAAGCTGGGAGATTAAAAAAAATGCCCAGGCATCACCTTCAAATTTTTGAATCTGTTGCCTAGAGTGCCACTGCACATGGTTCTAACATGCAACAAAAGTTACAGGTGCTCCAGACGCTGTGCTAAAAGCCTGTGGTTATATTCTTTCATCCCATGGGTGTGCACCAATGATGGGCAGGTACTGGCAGAATTTTAGGCAGCAATTTCTTAACTATTAATAATCTTATTTTTATGTTTCCTTATGTATTTGAGAGCCAGAGAAACACAATGCAAGAGAACAGGGAGCTCCCTCTGCTGGTTTATTCTCCAAATGGCCACAATGTCTAGGGCTGGGCCAGAGCCCAAACGGGAACCAGGACTCGAACCAGGTTTCCTACATTGGTATCAGATACCCAGAGACTTGGTTTACCACCTGCTGCCTCTCAAGATCTGTATTAGTAAAAAACTGAACACAGGCGATCTCAAGCAGAATACAAGGATCTTCACTAATCTCTTTACTACTAGGCCTAAAGCTGGCTCCAATACTAAAAGTTAATGCAGTAATCTTTGGATATCAAGGACAGGACAGTCCCATCATTTATTTATTTACTTATTTATATTGGAAAACCAGATATACAGAAAGGAGAAGGGACAGAGGAAGATCTTCCATCCAATGATTCACTCCTCAAGCGGCCACAACAGCGGGAGCTGAGTCAACCCGGAGCCAGGAGCCTCTTCCAGGTCTCTCACACAGGTGCAGGTTCCCAAGGTTTTAGGCCATCCTTGACTGCTTTCCCAGGCCACAAGGAGGGATCTGAATGGAAAGTGGGGCTGCTGGGGCAAGAACTGGTCTCCATATGGGATCCTGGTGTGTGCGAGGTGAGGACTTTAGCTGCTAGGCTATTACGCTGGGCCCAGGCCGGTCCTATGCTTATCCATAGATATGCCTGACTTACCAGTTTCTTACTTTCTTCCTAAATTCTCAGCCTTTAGAAATTCCATCTTATGCAGTCATTCCATGGTGTACTGGACTGGGTTTCCACCTGTATCATTGGTATCCCATAAGGGTGCAAGTTCAAGTTCCAGCTGCTGTACTTCTAATCTAGCTCCCCGCTAATGGTCTGAGAAAGCAACAGAGGATGGCCCAATTTCTTGGGACCCTGCACTCACATGAGAGACCCAGAAGCAGCTCTTGGCTCCTGGATCTGGACTGGCTCAGCTCTGGCAGTTGTGGTCATTTGGAAGTAGGCCAAAGGATGCAAGATTTCTCTAACTCTGCTTTTCAAATAAAAATAGCCTTTAAAAACAAAAACAACAAAAAAGTTCCATCTCCTAGTCATTGCAAGACCTCTTTCCTATTTCCAAGGGCTCCCATCAGACTTCACCATTAAGAGAAGCATAAGAATAGGGCTGGAGGTAAGGAGACAGGACCGCCCACATCTCTCAGATCATCCACAAGTAAGGTTTGTCAGCTGTCCTTTCATTGCTTCTTAGCACTCCAGAATCTAAGAACTTCACAGTTGGTTTCTGCTTTGCCCTCAGTCCTTCTCTCCGCAACCTCCACAGTGGACTGGGTATGTCTTACTAAGGTGGCTGGTGGAGATCACAGTTGAGCTCAAACGACTGGGTCATGGAGTAGCTCAGGTCTTCCACCCTTCTGTGGTAGCTTTTCTCATCTCGCAGATGTATTCTGATGTACTCCTAGGACCAGTGCAGAAATCAAACGACTTAAAGCAAAACAAAGCCAAACCCAGTGAAATCTTTTGAGTAATACTTCACTTAAGATCTTGGTGAAACCACAGACAGAAGCAACTTAGACTTGGCATACCCAGCCCAGCTGCATCAGCGTGCACACCTTCAGGCCCTAAGCTTGCCCAGGGGGTTGTATTTCACATCCTCTACATTCAAGGCACTACATCTAATAGCTAAGAAAGTTACCTTTTTAAATTAACTTTCCATTTTACGGAGGGAATCCAAGGGGACAGAGAGCTCAGCAAACTTGTCCTGTGAAGTCCATGGTCTGAACTATCAAGCTATGGAATGATTTAAACTGTCATCCATTTCATGGAGAAACATACTCAGGGACTGCCTTATATGTGAGTGCTGAAGACTTGATATTCCTCTAGCAGACAACTTGGAGAAAATAGGCTAATTCAACATTTGTCTATCTTTTCCTGAATGAAGACCAAAGTATGTTGGTCAAAGAGGAGTTAGTCACATTGAACAAGCCAGCATACTGTTCTGGTCAGATCATTATTCATGGACAACCCTCAGATCCTAAGTCTCTGCAGACCCAAGGCACACTGAGGCACTGCCTCATACAAACAGTGGCATTGCAGGATTCTTAGTATTACAAGGAAAAGACATTGTACCAGGTGTTTATCTACAATCTCCTAGTTCATGGTTTAACATGACCTCATGCTTGGTTCCTCGAGATAATGTATTTTTGTGAAGCTGAGATTTTGGTGGTTGCTGTGATAACAGGTACAGAATGAAAATCAGACATGTGGGTAACATTATCTAACCCTATCTCAGGTTTGAGAGGTCCAACAGTGTTGTGCTGAGCTAAGAATTGACGTTAACATCATTCAAAGGGCTTCTGAGCAGAGATGACACAAATTTAAGCTGTTTAGATCTACCTATGAAATAAAGGGAGCTGTGGAGTACTTACTTGGTCTTGGGACTCTGAAGAAAAAAAATTACTGAGACACCATGGTCACTGCCAGTGGAAAATCTTGGAACTTCAATCCTTTGCTTTTGGGAACCCTGCACTGTCACTATGGGCCATGCTGGAGAGTGGGGCTATGATTCCAGAGGGGTCAATGCCCAGGGTCACAGCTTTCTCTATCTTTGAGTTACTTAAACTGATGTGAAGGGTCCTCCACAGCTTCACTTGGAACAAGTCCCAGAATCCTGACCAAAAGGTGCAGGGTCTAAGCAGAATGAGGCTGAAAAGAATGATTCTTTGCAATTAATGAGCTGTGGATGGAGAAACTTCCTACTGATAAGACAGTTTCTGTCCAAGGGAAGAGGGGGAAAGAATTTTTTTGCAGCAGGACCTTGGGGAGTCATTTATGAAGAGACATTTCAGAGTGTGTGCTCATGAGTGCATCCACATCAGTGTGGTCACATGGGAAAGCCAGGGCTCCACTGATGAATGGATAGGAAGACCTCCTTGGAGAGGAAAGAGAATAACCATGCATTGGGCTCAGTCCTCCTTGGTGGGTGTGCAGGGGCTTCCCTTAACAGAAAAGTGGGGTACTCCCAATCTGTGTCACTAAGAATGTGAGTGACTCAGGAGGGGCAGGCACCTTGGACAGGGAAGTCGGACAGCACAGAGGCTGAAAGCGGGGAGCTCCAGCAATGAGGTCACCCTGCTACTGAGAATGGTCAGGGGTGACACCCACTAGATAGCAGATGGGAAGAAGCATGACTCAGCTTCCATGAGATGGAAGCTGACACCCTGGCTGCCCACACAAACTCTGCCATCGCCTTTTCTGGCTTTAACTTAGAAAAGACCTCATGTGAGACAACCCCCTTGGGTTCCTGGCCTGGAGGAGGAGGTGATGGTGATGGTGATGGTAGTGGTAGTGGTGATGGCAGTCGTGATGATATGAGGTACAGCCCCTCCAGATCACACAAGCACACTGGGAAGAAGACAATTCGATTTACTGTCTTCCCATAGGGGTTCCTGTTCTTAAAGGGGAGACGAGACTACTGCTGACCTACTCCAATGATGTAAGACATCACAAAATTCTCAAGGGAGGAAAAAAGTTTTCAGAGGGGTAGAGGGAGAAAGGTGATGAAAGCTGCATAAGAACTCAATGTTCCATCCACTGTTCACCTTAGGGTTTATGGTTCCCTGGGGAGTGTGATCTGTCTGTATGCATCACACCTGTCAAGCAAGTTGGGGTAACTAACGCAGGAAGCCATAAATATTATACAAGACACAAGAACGCTTCCTGGTAAGCAGGAATAGCAGGCCAATGGGAAGAGGCCATGTTTAACTCCTCATTGTTGTGGGCTCATTCCCAAGGCAACAATACCCAATGGTTAAGAGAGAACGGAGTCAAGGATTGAGGATTTGTTAAACAAGCATCCTGGTCCTCGGACTCCAGTGCAGGCTGGTTACTTAGCAAAACCCCGGGAGCTGGGGGATGATTCTCGCACTAGCAAGGCCACTTGCTGTTCAGCCCGAACCACACCCTCCCATTGGCCACAGGTTGGGGAATTCGGCATAAATCTTTCTGGTTTCAATTCAGCCAGATTTATATTTCTTGGCCTTGTTCTAGATCCCTAAGTATTCCAGGGCTGCGTCTGTTGTTGCAGGAAGTGATGGAACACCTGCATCTTGCAGACATTCCCCCGCCATATCCCCACCACATTATCGGAGGGTGCCTGCACGGGGCAAGGCAGGCGGCAGGGCACTTCTCTCTGCCAACAACACTGACTGATATTTGCTCTGCCATCCTCGAAGGCCAGAGGCAAGGCTTGATTAGCTCCACTGTGAACTGTTAGGAAGCTGTCTCTATAGCAAGAGACGGAGAAATTACAGCTCCCTGCAAAGCTCCAGCAGCCCACCGCTGTGCTGGGAAGCTGTTCATTCATCAGGCAGGTTTACTCTGGCTTGTGACGGGAGACACAGTTGCTGCTATTACACATTCACACCCATCAGGAAAAGACATTCTTTATGCACCTCATTTTAAATGCCCTACTTACCAACTTCATCCCTGATGTTTGCAAGTTCGATTGACAGCTCTTTCTCTTTCACAAGGGCACTTGCATTCTGAAAAAACAAAACGGACACAGAGAGTCCCCTAGTTTTAGGCTACATCAACACTTTCACATGTTCAATGACTTATATTAAGGAAATAGAATTTACAAGCCCAACTCTTAAGATTATTTCTCATTATGAGCATATATTCAAAACTTAAAAATCAAGTCTGATTCATTCATTTCAATCACGTTCAAATAGCAAAGCTTGCAATGTAACACTAGTAATGCCCACGGTTGTGCTTTTGTCTACATGACATTCCCATGTCATTCTGCAACAGTTCTTTGCACATCTAAGTGCTACACATTAATCTGTCATGTCACTCTATACTGATTATCAGTCGTATGGTTAGTTTTTTGTTTTGCCTTACTTTCTGAAAGGAAAATACTTGCTATATTAACTGTCTTCTTAAACTCATGCTTTGGTCCACATCAGATTAGCTACCTAGTAGATAATGAAGGTAACATTTCTCTTTATAACAAGACCAACGGTAATCCTGAAGGTTTCCTTTCCTGTTCTATCAGCATCAGTAGAGGGAACAAGAGGAAATCTCACACTCAAATCATTACTTAGTGCAATTAATTCATGTGTAACCAAATGAGTTATTTTCAAATCAAATGCATTCTGTACCATAAAACAGTTGAAGTAGCGGGAGATAGGCTCAATTCGTAATCAGGGCTACTGAGTCACCCACAGTTTCTGTACGATGCTGTTACCAATCAGCTCTAGGAAAGGTAAACTTCAAGTAAAAGACACAAATATACAAGCTTTCAAAGGAAGCCCTGCTCGTCCTATAGAATACACTCCCAGACAAACGGACTCCCAGAGAAGGGGTCTTGGCTAACATGTGGACCCTCTGCCTGGCATACATGGCGTCAGGGCCTTGTGAGTGTGCGTCCTTTATCATGGACTTTGCCCTGTGGTTTCAGCAGATCCGTGCTCAGTGGGAACTGGTGGTTCTCACAGGCTCATCTCTGATCTGTCGCATTTCAAACCTGGACAACAAAGGTGCTACTTTAGGTTGATGAGTAAGCCCCAGGGTCTCCAAAGGGCTTTTGCAGAACAATGACATGATAATCAATTGTAAAACTGTTTTAAAAATAAACAGAGCTACTGTAGCCACAGTTATCAGCAATTACCAGCCAATGGTTCTCCTAACAAAATGAGGTACTATCTCCATCCTTTGAGGTTCCTTCCAAAGTTCATGATGGGAATCCTAACTTTTGTAAGGTGGTGGTATCAGGATAAGGAGATACCAAGAGGCTTCACATGAATGGGATTAGCATCCTTACCAAACAGGCGTCAGAGGGCTGCTTTGTTCCACACACGGTTCAATGAGAAAGTGCCTCTCACCAGACACTGAACCTGCTGCAGTCCTGATCTTAGATACCCAGTCCCCAGCGCTGTGCGGAGTACAATTCTATCATTTAAAGACCACACAACTTATGCTTTGTTACAGCAGCCTGGACAGACTAACACTGCCCGACCAGTCCTTTCCATAGCCCTCTCCTTGCATCTAGCCCAGAGCATCCCAGTTTTCCCTAAGTGTCAGGACCAACAATAACTGAGTATATAGATTTGAAAATATTAAACAGCAATATTTCCATGCCATGCCCCCTCACACGAAAGCATGAGGGCTAAATAAATGAATACACTTGATGTAATTCTAACTGTGCTCCATCTTGAGAAAGCTCATCTAAGTATTAGTTATAGGTCTATGGTTTCCTTTCTACTTACAACTAGGTAACATTCTATAAATAATAGGTGCTTTTCTATGTTAACTATTAAATCTGTCTAGAATTCACACACATACCTTTTTGACTCTGCCCTGATTCTTAAAGTTTTAATATGGTTCAAAGACTGAGGAATCCCAAAAAGTTTTAATTAGATTCATCACAGGGACATCAACAGCATAATACGGCCTGCTGAGAATCAACTTGTTTGTGCAAATTAAGAAATTGTGGTATTATTCAGAGGAATAATTTCAGTATTGACTCTAAAAGACACTGAAAATCACAACTAACGTTTACCAGCAAGAATACTGTTGAACACTCATATCCTTTCAAAACATAGGCCAGAGCATTGAAATCCTACACTTATCAGTCCAGAAATAGCATCACTGAAGTGAGATTGAGAGCTGCTATGATTTAGACACAGCCAGAGGACAACCATCATTGAACAGAAATAACTACATATCTCTATTATCTAATCTGGAGTCTGGTCACCATCAGTTCCGCGGAAGTGGACCATGAAGGATGATGACAGTGTTGAGGTTGGGTCTGAATATGGTCTTGAGCTCAAGGAGATGGTATAAGGAGGGCATACTCTCAAGCCTCTTAACACTCCATCTCCATGAAAAATGTCCCTGGCTCTAGTCTCACCCTTCCAGACCATCTGAACTACCTGTCTTGATCTTTGGCATCAGTCTGTGAATACACGTCTGTTTATTTCCAGTATTTGGATCCAATTCAGTTCAGTCTGTTTGGGGCTGTAACTTCCGATGGGGAGGATGAGTTTCCTGAACAGCTTCTAGAAGGACCTTGCCAATGGCTTCTGAACATATATCCCTGCCAAGGTGCTGGCTCAGCTCAGTTGGGGCTCACTCAGTCCAGCCAACCAGTGCAGTCTGCAGACAGCCTTTTTCCTTAAGTGTTTGTTTTTGAAACCATATCAATTGTTCTATTTTATGAATTCTGTGCATCAAGATACTTTCTGTCTCCTGCATGCCAAACCAGAATGACGTCAGCAGCTATGACCACAACGACCCTGTTCCTTAGGTAAGAGGTGATAAATTGAAAGGAAATTTCCACTTAATACACTTTGCCCCAAATGACATCCCTCTTTCCATGGTAGCTCGAGAATCCAGCAGTCATCTTAGGTTGGGTCCGCCACCCAGGACTCCCTTGGAAAGGACCTCAAAGGATTTCCTGTAAGCCAGGTCTGGGCACTGACATGAGTAATGTACAACAAAGGCCTCCTCAGACACCTAGGGTTAGATCAGCATTTCCCTACAAAGATGAGTGGAAAATTCTAATCGGTGCCAAACACATGAGCTCCTGCTTTCACTCAGGAGGGCTAAAAATAGAACTCAGTATTAACTATCTAAACTCTTCTGGTGACACAATCCAGAAATCTCAGGGTCTAAGGAGGCCATCCCTCTAAAATGACTGTTTACTCTGGGACAGGCTTAACTGCACATGGACACTCTGAAAACCTTTGAGTCCCACGCCAGCAGCTGCATCATCTTCGCTACCTCTCTCATTTGGCCATGAACCTGTCTCGCTGGCTTTCTCTTCATTTTGCCCTGGTTTATGTACCTCATTCCCAAAGGGAATCCAAAATGAGCTATTCCAATGAGACATCCTCTACCTCTCACCCAATGCATACTATAGAAAGACTGCCACAGGAAACCAGTACTTCTTCTAGTTATGGTTCCCCATGCTAATCTTTTTGTGAAATCTTCGAAAATGCTGCCTTTTTGGCTTTCCTAGCTTAAGAAACCTAGTAAGGCATGAAACCCACTAATCATTTCATTAACTTCAAGCAACTAGATGTGTCGACATGCCCCAAGCAAGCCTGCCACACTCTGTTATTTTAACATGCTTGGTCAGTGGGGGTCATCTGTGCCGATGACTGATGCTACCATGTGAACCTGTTGGTAACGGGAAGTGAAAATGCCCTTCCTCATTAGCATCATCTGTGTGATCACACACTTGGGTATCAGTTGCCCAAACTCGTCCTTGAAGGAGAAACCAAGCGAACAGTCTGTTTATTGAATTGGAATGTTAGGTGAAACTCAGGTGTCCTCATTCCTGGTGATTCCAGCAATAGGACACTTACACAAAACAATTGCCGAGCTCACATATGCTGGGTAGACATTATGCCTACCTTCAAAAAGCTCTTCTCACAGTCAGTGCATAAACAATTACACAGCAATAAGTCAAACTCAGTGGGGGCAATGCTACCTGGGACAGTGAAACTGAGTCCAGAGGATACAAAAGGAATACCCCAGATAAGAAGAATCAATGATACAAAACAGTACCAGAGGTTTTTTGGGGGATCTTTGTCACCCTACTAGTTGAGGTCTTCTCTTTCACTCTCCAAGAGCTAATCAATAAGTTTTATTTCTTCCACATAAAATTAACACTAAGGCCACTGTGGTTTCTATATCATGATTTGCTTTTCTCTTCTGAAACAAAATTTAACACAGATCAGTCAAGGGCAAACATTCAATATTCTCTAATACTTCAGTGTCTGCGTGAAAAGTTAGCACAGTCCAAGGTTGCACTGAGAGAAATCAGAATATCTAAATTTAAAAATGCATAATTCTAGCCTTTGTCCTTGTATATATGGGGAAGGAGAACATTATGAATAAGGGGCTACCACAACATAATCTCGTTTGCTAACATGCAGTTGAAATGGACGGAGTAATGGGGTGCAAGAAAAAAGCTATTTCGGAGAAGTAAAATCTCTGTGCAATTCTGGATCCCCAGAGTACGTAAGTGCAGGAGGAGGCAAGGAGCCAGTGCTGTGATCTTTAAACTACTTATGCAGGAGGGCACTTCCATCAGGTCATGGAAAATGGAATCAAAAGAAGTTTATTTCGGTTCAAAAAGATGACGTCATGCAGTTTTGTCACAGCCTGCAAGTCACTGCTTTTTGTTGTGGACTTAAGTATTTTTGAGTCACTTGAAGTTTCCTGCCCTCCGGGGGTTCTACCTTGCTCCCAGTGCCTTCTTGAGCTACCTGTTACTGTCAGAGCACAGCCGTACACACTTAGGAGGAACAGAGAAGTGCCTTCTCCCAATTCCCACCCCTACTAAGAATTTAGAGAAAATGTAAACAAGATTAGCTTCTGTGATAGTTATCTATACACAGAATGTTAGACGTAATTCAGGCCCTGAGAGAACAGCACGGCAACGAAACTGCAAGTCTCTGCAACAAACTGAACCGGTCCACAAAGTACAAGAGGACAGTCTGCTATAAGGTAGACTGATCAGTAAAGAGAGCTT